AAATAACAAAACCAAATGAACAGTTTGTCACACAGTAAATCTTTTAATAATTTCAGGTATAACTTAAGTTTTGAAACCCAACAGATCCATCTTATATGAACAGACTTTTTATTCCACAGTGGTGCCAGTTTAGGTTTTGGACTAAACTCCCATTTAACCCTATTTATTTATTTATTTATTTATTTATTTACTTAAAAAAAAGAAGACGATGAATTGAAGTGTTGTTGGAAAAGGTGGCAACAGGACCAAATCAAATGATCAACTACAATCAAATTCTGAAGCAATCTTTCTGTATCTTCATGAAGCGACAATTAAGGAGAAGCTCTGAACAGTTTTGGCTATTTGGTAATATTGGTTTGTAAATGTATATCCTCAGTTAACCTTCAACCTACCTAAGACTCAGAATATTTGGAAATCAGTTGTAATGTGGATTGTTTGATGTAATTTTTAACGTTTTTTTTTCTCTTGGATTTTTCCATCCAGGGTTCCAGGTTAGTGTGGTTAGAGAGCAAGCTAACTGTGGGGAAGAGGACCGCCTGGGGCATTTTGTCCCTGGCTCTCAAGGTAGGTGCACAGAAACCTTCAAAAAACAAGACTTGTGATATACTCACTCAGTTATGTTGCTGAAATCTGCCGAGGCATGCTTTAATATGAATCATTTGAACATTCACGTTAAGCAGTAATTTAGTTATGTTCAACTTTTTGTGGTTTTCAATATCTAATTTATCTTCATTTTAATTACCAGACAAGCAAAGTGTTAATAATTTCCCCTAGGGATCAATAAAGTATTCTGATTCTGATTCTGATGAATCCCCAAGGGGTCAATTGCACAGCAAATATGATGACCAGCTGCTGTTTTACTTCATGAATTAAGTAAAAGGAAGGCAACAACGGCAACAAATACTATATTTTTCTTCTCTCTGGTATGATGCAAAATGTTCTATTGTTACGGCATTTTAGCAAACTTTTAACCATACCCAATTGTCTTATTATGTTGCAATATTTCCATACACCTTATTTATTTACTTTGTAACCATTCCTAACCTGGCAGATGGGAAAATACAATTTGACTCGACTTTTTCTTAGTTTCAGTTAAGTTGTCACATAGTGGTACTTGAATCATAAATGGGGTCATAAGTCTGGTAAGGTTTCAACTGCTGTTGTCTGTTTGGAACCTGTAATTAGAGGTCACCACCCTCTGTTATCTGGATAGACTACGTAACAGTCTTGGTTTCAGTAACCACATAAACTTGATACTCTGTAATCCTTTTTAGCTGCAATTTATATTTGGATGTTATGTCATTGAGGTCATTTTTAACATAGTACCCTATTTTAAAACGTGTCATTTATTTTTCATTCTTCTGTTTGGGGTACAAAACAGTACCTGATTATATTTAGTCATTGATCTTTATCGTGACTGTCTTATGAGGCATCTTTTTTTGGTTTTGGTGGCAAATTGTCTCAGCTGTGGTATACAAGCTGTGGGGTCTGATGGCTTACAGTCCAGCCTCATTAGTGTCAACAGAGGTGTGCCACAGGGTTCTATTGTAGTACCACTTTAATACAGAATAGTTAATGACTCAGGTGTAACCTTTAACAGTCCAAAGCATATGACACCACTCTCTGTTACCAGAGTTTTATGTACAAAAATCTTTGATTAATCTTAAATTGTTGTCAAGCTAAATGCATGTAGTTTTATGGAAAGATTGCCAAGCATGCTTTCTGCCTATAAATCCTCCTTGATGCTAACTATTGTCACATTAATTTCTTTTTTCCATTTATTTCAAACTTTGTCTTGGCAAATTTTCTGGGTGTCTCATGAGTATTTTTTTCCACACTGTATATCATCTTCACCTACACCAGATCCCAAGACTGTTTGGTCCTTGAAAATAAGGATGTTAATACTGAAATGGGAAAAATGGTTTGTAATTATTAAGCTGTATGTGGGAGAATCTGTACAAGCTTTTAAAATAAGATGAAATGATTCCCGTTAATAAATTTAAATCCATTTGGTCCATGGTAATCACTGGAACTAATTACCTGAGCTTATGTTTCTATGGTTCTGTAATGCAATCGGGGTTGTGCTTGTGCCTTCCCAATGCATTTCTGGACAGTTATGTGGCTGCTTGTGTCCATGATGTACTTGGGTTGGCATTTCCAGTTATAGCAGAAATTTAGGAGGGAATGTTCTTGTTGTTATGCAGCCACCGCTGAGCGCTGGCTAGGGGGGCTGCCATTGAAAAATACAAGGAAGGGCTTGGTCCTAAGCAAAATATCCCGCAGTATGCCAGAGAAAAAGTCCACCCGGGTGCAGCAGGCAGATAAGATCTGAGTGTGCGAGGCAGTGATATAGGATAATTGGGTTATACAGGGCGTTGGATGCAGTAGAAGGGTGGCCCTGTTGGCACTCTGTCCTGACATATCATACCAGAACTCTCCAGTGATAATTGCTGTCAGAGAGGGTATCCTAACTATTTGCCTGA